ATCCTTGTGCCTCATTTTCCTTTGATCATGTTTTTTATAGATCTTCGAAATCTACAAAAGAGTGGAACAAGACACCACGTTAATTGCTTATTACCAAAGTCGATACCTTAAATCAAACACGAATCACCACTTAATGCCAACAGTTTTTAACATTTTGCGATTGATTGTCACAATCATTACTCAAGCCATGTTTCTTGTTGATTAGATAGCTTAAAATTCCATCACCATGCATGCATCTCTTGTATAGAACGCTACGAATAAAACTGATATAGACTGTTTTCTTATTCCTGTATAGTTGATCATTTTTGTTGAGTCGTCTGATATCATGATTCTCTTCTAAAGGTTAGAGCAATTGTTCGCCGCTAATTTGAATTGATTTCCCTATAAACTCATGCTATTCTAAAACAAAGCCGCAGTCTCGGAGTAAATGTTAGGAGACTGCCATATCTTATATGATAACTGAATTACCCACAAATATCGTAAATCGAATGTTTATTCGGCTATTAGCCGAGCGATCATCAACGAACACAAATTGCTAGTTTTACGCTAAATCATTGTTGATAAATGACTTGTATTTAAGTGGTGACTCCTAAAGCAGCCGTATTGTTTAGTGATAACTTCAAGAATGAAGTGTTTATTCCTCCTCTTCTTTGCTATCCGTCTCAAACTTGTCGTCCCAGGCCATCTCATCGTCGGTTAGTTTAGGCATTTCATAGGTATAGATGTTGTCATTTTCTGTGCAGTCGAGCGCGTTCGAAATCCTGCATGTTTTAAATGATTTCTTCATCATCTCCTCCGGAATTTCAGCCCAAGCCCGCTTTACCCAACGAAGGACCAGGTTTCGCAACTGGACCTTCTATTTTCCCGCTGGGGTAAACTCAAAGGGAAGTCAGTCATCATCCAGGAAAGGTTCTGTCTCCGGATGTTGTCCTTTACACGGTTTGTTGAGACACTTATCCAAAGGCTACTCTTTTTTTAGAGGTAAACGGTTCTGCTCGATAAAGACTCGAATTGTACAGTTTCATCCATGCGAGCGGCAATCACGAACCATTTGAGTTGGATAGTCTTCTCCTCCAGATCTTGTGGAAGTCGCTCCGCAAGTGTTGTCTTGGTGCAAAGGCTGATGGAATGGCACCTTTTCCACTTCTGGCAACAACCCGGCGAAGCTTTGAACTGTTCATCTCTGCACAACTGCTTGGCTTTCAGCAGCAGAAGAAATCTGCCATCGGCAATTCCTGTAAAGAATAAAGAGAAGCAAGATTTAGCTTAAGCTCAATTGCTTTGACCTGTTTTGGCAACATCTGGCCAATCAGAAGCGGCCGTTCCCACGACTACGTGTTTCGTAGATTTCCTATTTTGATATTGCGGAAGTTATGGTCATTTAAGAGTAATTGTTTGGGCATTTTTCACTAGCAAAGCTGAATACATAAATACAGCAAAAGTCGTTGCGCAGCAGACAGCACAACTGTAGAGCACTGAAGTGAAGACAATCGTGTTCAGCCATGCCGAATCATTTCAACCTGGAGGATTGTGAAAGATTCCTCCACGACGAAAACCAGTTTAGTCCAGGAGCGTCGAAACGCATCGAAAAATACCTTCAAATTTCTCGAGAAGGCCTGGACGAGTTTTTGATTCGATTCCCAGAGATGATTCGAAACGAAGATCAATTGTTCTATATCGTGCGATTTATTAGGGCCCATCACAAGTTCGACACGCAAGATCACGAAAGAATTTTCAACAGTAACCTGTTTACAACTATGGAGAGAAAAGTGACGGAGCTACTCGCTGTTGTGGAGCAAAAAGACCCCCACACGTATTGGTATTTGATACATGCCCTGCAGTCAAAACATTCCCCTTTGTATGAGCATCTCCACGGATCTATAAAATGTTGTGGTAGGTAGAAGATTTGTGATTGCAGGCCGAGTTTGAACGTTTATCATTTGGTGAGATATTGTGGTCCCGAAATTCATGATTCCCTTACCTTTGCAATGAATAATTTTACTTCGAAATAGTGACGTCATGGGCGATTTGTAGTGCACGACTTACTTGATTCTTGTTATTTTTGTTGTTATCTTCGACAATTACGATATTTTGGGGTCTTGCTCCATATCATGTTAACCAGTTCCCTGTTTTCGAAATTTTTCCTTCTAATTCTCTTCTAAATGGAGATTAATTATCGGTTATAAATGTCTATCTTTAGTGCACAACAAAATTAACATCAGTCTGTTGACCAATATACATAAGTAACGACAGGTACATGTGTTGTTCTGGTTGGTTGCATTTTAGAACGTCAACAAACTCTGAATGAAATAATGAATTTTGTAATTGGATATCCAAGAAGGTAACTATTTTTCAGTGCCAAAGGGATAACAATTCTGAGAGAAGTTTTTTTGGTATAGAGGCCAACTTCAGTAACATGGAAATCAAAAGTGGGAATAAATGACTGAGACATTGACACCCGCTTTTGTCATTTCAAGTCATGTTCATGTCCAACTTTGTTATTTTTAATTAATTAAAAAGTTAATTTTTTAAATTTGTTTTTTCATTTCCAACGCGTAAGGACAGCGTTTTAAATCATGAAAGATGTAAGAATAGCAAAGAGCTATTATTCAGAAGATGTTATTTTTTTTACAACAGCAAACGTAATTATTGGCTGAACGGTAAAAAGCATGTTTTTGATATCGATATTGGCACATCACCGATAAGTTAATTATTCAGAAAAACCCCCTTCGAACTCACCAAAGATTACAACATCGGTGAAAATAGCTAAATAACACTTGATTGACACTTGTTGAGCAATAAGCTCAACATCACGTGTTATTTCTATTTTCATCGATGTTGTAATCTCTGTTGACGTTCGAAATTGCCGATCCCAGTAGTGCAATATGCAACAGCACTCGAAAGTCTCCTGGTAGGTTCTTTTTTTGTAAGCCGAACTGAATTTCACTTTGGAACGACGCAACCTAACGATTTTGAGTGGTTTAAAAAAAGGGTGTTTTTATACTTTATGCGATAATTGATCGTCGCACGATTATTTCGCTGACTAAATCAATGACGTAAAAATGCGGCTGTTCAAAAGTCGAAATTACAGGTCCTGGCAGACGGAAAGAACTGCTTAGATGTTCCAAATTAAAACTGCAGTTCCTGACTGATTCTGAAGTTGAACGTTCATGCAGTCAATCTGAGTTATTAGGTTGGCTCATGATTAAGAAAACACGAGCTTATGCTCTCTCGACTAAGCTTACGTTCTATTGATAGAAAAAAAAGGCCTCTGCTGCTCGCTGTAAGAAAATGATATCCTTCAGTGATAAAATTTTTGTTAAGTACCTCATCCCTAGTACCAGTACCACAGCTGTTTGAGAAGTTTCACCATTCTTTTGATTGCAGTGTGTAAAGATATAAAACATAGAGAGAAAGAGGAGGAGTTACATTTTTCAGGTGAGATGAGGATATGATTTTATTTGACTTAAGTGCGAGTGAGACAATAGTTTGAAAGCCTGGATTAAGTGGAGAAAGGGCGGAATGGGGGGGGGGAGGAAGAGGAAACAGTGAGCTGCTTTTGGTCAGTTTCATTTGTAATTGATAACATACTGCGTCTGGATAGATACAAAATGAAATGCTTGCTTTGCAGATTTGGAAAATGAAGGGAAAGTAGTAGTCCCCTTACTTAAAGCTTTGTGTGAAGCAATTGAGGACAAAGTCTCCACTGGAAGATCGTTCATCGAAAAGATGAGAACTGCGAGGCAAAGTGAGTTCCATTAATTTTAGACGCAATACACTGTAGCAAATATTTCATGTGCAATTTAGTGTAAGAGTACTCGTGGCTTCGGCGCCATTTTGATTGGAAGGGTACAACTATGATAATATAAGATAATAAAAGCGGCGTCGGATGCACTCCTGAATTCATGCAGTTTTGTGTTGTTACAATCACAGCATGAAATCGCAAATTTACGCATCTTTAACTGTTGCGTAAAGAACGTAAATATAAAGCCTCTTCTTTACGGACAAATTCCGCGTTCCGTAAAGATACGTAAATGCAGAGAAAGCGTAAAGACTGCGTAAAGGATATTGAATGTTCGAAAAGGATAAGGATCAAGATGGATATAATTAACCACTTTCTATTTGGAGAAATACTCAAAGAAGTGAAATAATTATTGCTCATCCATCTTCCGTAGAATTACCGTGGTATTTTGACCAATTTGGCTTTTAACACACGTCTTTAATAGTAATAATAATAGTACAGTCGCTGTAAAATATCGTAAATGGTCTCTATACGACTTTTTACAAGGCACGTAAAGATAGCGTTTTTAGTCTCTCCGTGATCTTTACGTACTAACGTATTCAATGCATATAGACATTCTTTACGTTTAAAGACGCGTAAAGAGGATCTTAACGCTTACTTCACGGCATCTTTACAGATTCGTAAATTTATAATTTCATGCTGTGATAATGTACGTCATTGGCTTTGGAAGCAAGTGCCTTTAATTGAATCGCGTGCGTTTTGCCGCGTTTGGCGTCTCTCACGGGTGGCTCTTTTGATATTTTATTTGTGATGATTTGTAGTTTTCTTAAGCTTTTGCGCAAATACTAAAACGCATTCTACAAATCTTTATTGAGATTTTCTTGTTGTATCATTTTATTTTATAGGAAAGAAAGGTAAAGCTTTAGTAACAAACCGACCTACCTATCCTGTAGATGATGTTGTTGAGCCTGAGGATGAGGACTACATTGATGCCGCGGAAGGTTAGTGGTTGTGTTATATTCATGTTACAAATGAAAAGCCTTGTTTTCCTCTATTTTTTTGTTAACGAGGTATTGGGATTCAGGGTAAAAGCCCCTTCCCCCTCCCCACTTACCACTTTTATTAGCTCAGTATACCGTCT